ACTGTTAAAAGCATTTCTTCGTAGATCTGTTTGATTTCTAGCCTGAAGCACTCTACAAGTACAACATCGCATCCTAAAATAGCAAGATGATTCCAAAACGACCGATTTTGAACTGATAAATGGCAAGGATAAAAATAGCATCAGTATCTCATAACCTCAATAAATTCAAAGCATTCGGCATTTTGAATAGGAATACGAGGGTGAATTTTTAGCTTGTTATTTCGAATACTCGGTGTGGGTCGCGTTTCGATTCGAGGTGAAAAAAAAATCCGACAAACATCACAAGCAAACGCAATGTTAGCCATTGATGCTATAAAAGCGCTGCCATCTCCGTTAGTTCAATCGACATCGCCGTCAGCACGAATGAAACTCATCGCAAAAATTCTTCTCATCCTCACAGTCTCTGCCAATTCAGGTGATACGGTATCAAATTGTCAAAAGCATTTTTTTCTGTAGAGAACAATCTATGTCTAGAAAATTTGTCGCCACATTTAGGTCTGTCTCGACTCAAAATTTAAACATATTAAAATTATATAATATTTTTCGAAAAGAGTACGGCGAATAAAGCACAGTAATTAGAGGTATCCTGCTATTCACACGTGATCCCTGGTTCGATTCTGCACCTTGAAATCGCTAAGCCTTCCATCCTACCGAGGTCAGCAGATTGGTCTCACGCTTATCTGACAAAATAATGGCACTGAATTGGTCCATCTACAATTCACTGCAAGAAAATGAGTAGGTTAGATATACATTCAACCAGCTCCAACCGTGCTTGATGAGGTCGAATGCATGGTGCATCTCTTCAGCATTCATTAACGCTAAATGGTTTTTCCATCATTCTATTACGAGGCAAATACCCTTAGCACTAAGCCTTTCTTTGTCCTTAGTAGAAACACAGCGCTGTTGTGATGGATTATTTCATTAATTACTTGATACTTGAGCCGCCCGCCCTCACTGGCTGTGCGGGCTCCATCATAATCATCATTTTCGGAATGTTTTTGGTCTAGCCATTGTGGATCCCTGGGGTTCCGAGGCCAGCCTGGATAAAGTCTGCCCCAGGTCTTCACCACCACGGGCAGTCGGCGGCCTTTGTGGTTCAGAGAGAGAGTTTCCACCCAGCGACTAATTTGATACCAGGGCGGTGGTGGATCCTTGTATTGGTTTACTCCTAGCTGTGCTTCCTGATGGATAGACCGGCCTTATTCTCATCTTGGGAGACCCTGTTGGAGGGACGAATCCCCCGCTGTACATCGCAGTTCGATACCCAGGAACACCTCCCAGCCACGATGAGGTGGTAAACCGTTGGGAGGGATTATTTTATTATTACATAGTAATAGTGATGTAAGCTTTTTTAAAAGAATTTTCAATAAGTTCCCAAAATTGTTTGTTTTTCGCTGCTTTTCTTTTTGGGAACAGCTATGAGAAGCATTTATATTACTTCATACTAAATCCTATAAAACAACTTTTTTAGCAGACATTGAAATTAATGGAATCCTTTTAAAATTAAATAAAATGGAGCATAAAATTTGAAAAAAAAAGCCTAAGTGTCAAGTAGACATGCCTAATGTTCTTGTCCTGCAACCACAAATATTTTCGAATCTGCAAACATCAAAGAACAAATCTAATTTAGTACCCGATTGCTACTATCCTTTTCTGACCGCAGCGAAAAGCTGCCAGTCAAGAAGCGATTGCCCTTCTGGAGTTTGTGTTTACAGCTTAAATCGAATGCACAGAGTTTGTTGTGAACCCAAAGAAGGAACGATACAACCTGGTTAGTTTTACCGATATTAGCTTATATTTCTAAAACTGGTAAAACACAGAAAATCGAAAATTCTGTTTCTGCAACAAAAGAGTAATTGAAAACAAAACAAATTCAGATCATCAACTCTAACAGTTCATGGGTATGAGGATGTCAAAACATTAATTTAGTTTGCTCTTCTGGAACGCCCTCACCGTTACCAATACTCTGTAATCCAGAAAGCAATGAAGTAGACTTCTGCCCAAATGGCTATGAGTGCCGCAAAAGTTCCACCATTTTTGAAAAGGTGAACAAAATTTCTCAGCTCATCATTGAGTCTTTCAAAAAATGAAAAAAAATTTGGTCGATCGGCTTATTTCAGAGTAACGGAGAACCCAATTATCTGTGTTGCCGTTGAAATCCTACAAAATCGCAGAGAATATCATACGGATCGATTGCTGGCCATATGACCATAAAACTAGGGCTTTCTCTGTTGTTTATATTCTTGCTTTCACAGTACTTTCATAGATTTTATCACGTATTACGATAGCGTAACAGTACAGTTACACCCGTCTAGATGTGAATAAAATACTATTAAATTTCCAAGCATGGACAACCAACGAAACCGATGATATTTCGAAAATAGTTCACATATCTGAGGACAAAAGAAAACAAGCAAACATAAGCAATGCGGAAAAACTTGTGGAGCTAATCAGGGAGTAGGCAGATTGGCTGTTTTAGGCACAACAAAAATTCGTATTGATTTCTTCAAAAGTAAAAGAACCTAATGCAAAAAAACAATCCTTCTCGAAACACTAATGAAAAAGGATATTTGTGGGTAATAAAGAGGACGATGAAGAGAAGGACAAAGAGAAGGAGAAACCAGTAGTGGAAGTGTTTAGATATACATCGATGCCAACATCCAAGCGCTACTAGGCGCTTCTGTTGATCTTATTAAGCATAGTGAATATTAAGCATCCCAAAAATACTAAAGTGGTTACGCTAACCAAAATTTCGACCGCGAAACCAGGTAATAAAACAGATGAAAAAATAAAAATAATTGAACGCTAGCTTTACCTTATTATAGTGAAAACGAGATTATTTAAATTGCGATATGATCGTATAATCTTTAAGTTTCATCACTTCCCTTTTGAGTGCTGTCGACGTCAACCGCTTTTCGAAGCAATTCGAATGTTATTCCAGAATTCGCCCCTGCGATCCTCATAGTTTGATCTCATTTCACAGTGTTTATTGATAACCAGGTGACTAAATGCTTGTTCGATTTATTTGAAATCAACTATTCTAATAAAGAGAAAGCCCATGAAACATTCTCAAATATTCAAAAGTACTGAATACTAATCGATACGTTTATACGTGCAATGGACCTCACCTTCCACAATTTTCACTAGTTGCTGGCTCCCATACGAAATCGAACACGCTCGAATCATCAGATGGTCCATGCGGATTTCTGAATCTAACAGACCGATGTACTATTTTCAATCACGTGCAGCGCAGTAATTAGAGCTTCACATGACCTTTGGCACGGGGTCTCGACCTGGATTTATCACACCATCACTGAGCTGAGGTCAGCAGATTGCTACCCTGCCTCCCTGAGTGGACAGAAACACTGGGTAAATCAGTCGGCCAATGAAAGCTGTTTTATAGACTAAATATTTTTTCGATCAGTCTTTCGATGTTTAATGCAGCTAAACCCATAGTGTATCCTTAAGGAACGGTTTAATCCAGGTCTCTATTCGTTAACCTTTGCGGCCACCATAGCACTTCCTTTTGCTCTTTGTTCACTGTTAATCGGCTGTGAAAGTTGGGTTTCTGAGACCCAGCGACTGGTAGCAATTATGCTAGAATACGTACCCGTACTTGGCGAAGTTCGTCCACATTAGCGTCATTAGATCGATCATTTCCTTATCTGCTTCATTGAACGAAAATTGAAAGAGTAGGGAAACACCGAAGAGGTACGTCAACTCCGTGCAATGGGTTGCTCATGAAATTGTTTGTATTTCTATAATATTGACTTTACGAGAAACGATGAAAAAACTGCTACGAGTTGCAGGATTATTGAATTATTGTCAATTTTTAGAATAAAATAACGCTGAGGGCCCATTACAATTCGAAGTCCATTTTAGTTCAGAGATGAGTGAGGTAGGAAGGAAGAAGCAGCGAAGGTGCTCCTCGTATCGTTAGCGGAAGATCGTGGCTTGGAGCGCTCCTTTTCAAGACTACACACTACTTATTGCTAGCGATGATTGTCTATGTAAAAAATCAAAACCTTATATCTGGAGGGCGCTTGTAGCCCACTGATTAGAGCTGCCCGGCTATACACATGAGTTTGATCTCACGCTCCAGGCTCAACAACCCATTAATCTCTTTGGGGTCGGCAAACTGAGAGCGGAGCTGTTTGGGAAAATAGCAGTACTGTCTTGACATATCGATAGACTAGCTTGAATAATTGCAAGGGCCAGATATGAATTTAATAACCTCTAACAATACTTGATGAAGTCGAATGCATGGCGCATCTCTCAGAGATCGATCGTCGCCAAGAGCTTCATCCTTTCTTTAAAGTTTTAATTTCTCACATAAATTACGACTTACTTTAGATTAGAAAATTCTTAAAAAATTTTCCTCTGACAAGTTAACAACGTTGAAGTACGGCACCTCGAGTTGCTGTTACTAGCGCTTATAATAATAATAACATATAATTCTTTCTCACACTTTAATACTTACTTGGATACTTGGATGGTTAGTCTTCACTATTTGTGCGGGCCCACCATAATTTTCGCTTTTTCAGAGTTTTCCAGGTCTAGCCATTGTGGTCCCTGGTGTCCCGAAGTCAGCCTGGCCAAAGCCTGCCCCAAGTCGTCACCACCACAGGCAGACGCCGCCTTTGTGGAACAGAGGGAGATTTGCCACCGAGCGACAACTTTGATACCTGCCCGATGATTTCTCTCTCGGTAACTCTCAGTATTGGTTAACTCCTAGCTGGGCTTCCTGATGGAAACGCCGAACTCTTTTCAGCTTGGTAGACCCTGCCGAGTAGAAGAATACCCTCGCTGTACATCGCAGTCCGACGCCCAGGAACAACTCTCAGCTACGATGAGACGGTAAACCGTTAGGAGGGGATATAAATTTTTCCGAAATTCTAGTACAATGAGAACTGCCGCTATTACTAAATCATTCAAACCTACATTAATATCCAAACCGAATCCCAACAAAAAGTGTGCATCTTTTCATGCCTTAGTTTAATTCATAAGTGGAGACTTTTCCATGAACATTTTGCTTGTATTGACAAATGAAACATGCTATCAAACAAGACAACACCTTTAAAAGGCATCCGAAGTGACAGTATGCTAAAACTATGTGCGTTGAAAAATTCGAAAGAGTACAGATAGACTCGATTTGACAAGGCCGTCATTTTTTTCACATAACTGTGCGTTCCATTATTGACAAAAAGATCACTGTACAACTGAAATTGGGAATTTGGAAAAATCACACACATTCACATGAAAATTGAAATCACAGAGAACACCTACCTTGACGTATGCCCTGGCCACCTGTTCTTTGTTAGCCAGGTTTACATCATCAGTATACAACTTAAGAGCTTGTTGTCTCAATTCCTCAAAATTTTCATGATTCTCTGGTGTGATCACAAGCGATATTAACTTCTCGATCCCTTTCAGGTTAAACTGATTGGGTGAGAGAGTTGCTAAAATTCAAAAAAATTCATACTATTGGGCAAAGATATGAAGTAAATTAAATAATGAAAGGTGCGCTATGATCTCTGCATGGTGTACCGACTCTGTTCGGCTGTGGGGATTCACCTAAATATCAAACTACTGTGTACATTTGTGGAACCACTTCGCTATCCGAGTGATAATCCGAGCAGGGAAGCGCTTTGGTATTTCCATCCAGACTGTCCAAATAGCTGCAAACCTCCGCCACAGAAAGGCAAGACAAGTTGCTATTGGCTACCTTACTGCTAAAACAGCAAGAATAGTGTGATGATTTTTTTTAAACGATTAGAGAGAAGTCCACTGATCAGTTTTGGCATGGGACAAAGAAAAAAGTAGACCTTACTGGCCACTGAGTGAGTGGGCTGATTGGTTAAAGAATGTATACCGTTTTTAATTGATAATCTAACACGAGGTTGTTATCAAACATTTCAGCTAACGTTTCGACGTCTTCGCCTTAGTCAGAACTGGTGATCTGAGCCAATGATTCCTATCGAGTTGGACCTTTTTCAGTGGGGCATCTCTCGAATGGGGAATCCCACACGACGACACTATTTTATACGAGACGGTTGTTGTTGATCATGATTGTCCTTTGGCAATAATTTGTTTTTCAACGGCAATCCATCCTGCAGCAGTCTTCTAGTCTCAGTATGAATGATCATCGAGAAGGCGATCGACCGTCGACTCGGATCATCGGCCCTGCGAAAGACGAAGACGTGAAAAGATGGCCGAATAAATGCTTGTTAACAACCTAATAATAGCTTATCAATGAAGGAACACCGATCTATCACACCGATGTTAAATGAAAGTCTGCTTACGATGAATGGATTACGGATTAAAGAGAGAGTTGCAGTAGTATCAAACTCGTTCGGCTGTGCCACGGCACAGATTTACTCCTAGCCGCGTTTCTTGATGGAAAACCCAAACCCCTTTTCTGCTTAAATTACCCCTTTTAGTGATCCACTCGACACTATAAAATACCTCCTAATCTCACTGAGCTAATTAATCATTAAGAAAAAGTGTTAATAATTTCTTAAAAACTAAAGATTCACTTGTCTTGTATCTTGAAATCAAGAATAATTTCCGACGTTACAAGCGACATAATTACAGTAGTAGGCTAAATTTTCGCTCTTTTTTTATACACCACTATATGAAAAACGGGTTAGGCACCGTATTTGGATTGCACCGCCTTATTTTCTCATTTCTAAACCAATCACCAAAAAGAAGCCCTTCATGCTGGCATGTGCCGATAAGTGCATTTTTCTTGGGAGCCTCATTTCGTAGTTCATCTATAGTCTTCGGAAGAAAATCATCTGGAGTGGAACCAATGACAGGTGCTAAGTCGAGCCCAATTTTTGACACATCAACACCCTACAAGAAAAAGAATTATTCACCATTATATTCGCATAGCCTGATAACTAGAAAAAATATACTTTAGTTGTAATGAGACGTTTCTCGAATTCTTTCACGCTTCGATGCCGAAGATAGTCGACCAAACTTCGGCTTGTCTGAACGTCTGAAATTCAAGAACATTTAAAGTTATTTAATTAGTTTTAATAGTAATGAGGAACGAGTTAATATTGGTGCCAAAGAAGGCTTTCACGAAATAATGTTTCCGAACCTAACATTTTACATGACCCCATCATCACATCTGCTGTGCGGATCCCAACACTTCTTGCATTCGATTCGTTTTCCTCGCATTTATCGTCCACAAAGATCTTCGAACAGTCGAGTCGATTTTCCTTGAAATCATGGAGGTAGCAGGACTAAGGAGTTCCCACGTGAAATGGAGGAGGGCTTTACGAAAGGAGTAGAACTAGCTCCTTTGCCTTCTGACTGGCAGCTTCACTAACCACTGCTCTAGCCGCAACCCCTTCACGATGTAATTTGGATTTAGATTAAACAAAAACTAAAAAGGACAGAAATGGAATTCCTTCGCACTACACGAAGAAATTGTATAAAGTGCCGTTACGGATACATGTCGAGGTTTCAATCACCGCATAGGCATAGGCATAGGTAAAAATTGTTTGATTCACTCAGCTTTTGTAGTTGACCTCAGTTTACTTACCGTAACTGGAACCATCCCAACCACGTTGATAGGCGAATTTGCGGCACGAATTAATGAGCTGTGATCGACTCACGGTACTCCAAGAACATTCTGCATTTCCAGCCATTAGTACCACTTGGTGGAAGAGTTCTGAACTTTAAATTTTCTTCATTTATTTTGCACAGTTTGCACCCAGGACTAAGATATCCTGCAGCTTAAACAGCAAAAAGCAACAAACAATTTAGTTCTTCTTTTCTAATTTTAAATAAAATGTTTACCTCTTGAGTGAGGACTAATGGCCAGCATATCGACACTGGCCCCGCCAGCACTTTGGCCAAAAACCGTCACACGGTTTGGATCGCCACCGAATTCTTTAATGTTATCCTAGAAGCGAATTCGTAAAAAAATAGAATTTTGTCTGGAAAAAATCGTTGATCAAAAATAAGCATCCACGAAGCACTCCTTGATGCCAATGTTGGCATAAGGGTTCCCAAAAAAGAGTATGCTTACAGCCAGTGTTGTCCTACAGTCTCCTATAAACAAACGAACCTGTACCCAGTGCAGAGCCATTGTCATATCCCAGAGTCCTAGATTTCCGGCGCAAACTTCATCGCCGGTCGAGAAAAATCCTAGTAGTCCAAGGCGATACTGGATTGTCACAACAATAACATCATGACGACAGAGGTACCTGGAACATTTGGTCGGTCTGATGAGCAAGTAAGTGGTTTATTAACTGGCGATCAGTGGAATAGGATTAAGGTGAAGCAGCTTCTGATTTCTGTCCCAAATTTTTACCTTGAAGGGATTTACTCAGTGCAGTTATTTCGTAACAATAAATAGGAACAATACCAGTGATCAATGACAATATTAAGTATTAATAATTTCTCTCCGTGGTTTACCCAGTTATCGTGGCTGCGCGTGTTGTCTCTTTGTTGCACTATGATATAAATCATTCACCTTCACTGCAGGGTCGTTGCCGAAAAGGACTTCGACATCACTACTTAGAAACTCCGTTGAGACCAAATCAATACCAAGAATTACCTCCGCTTTGGCAGCACCCTTGTCAATCATGGTAAATCTTCCTACAGCCCACAAACATCAACAACGGCTTGTAGGTGATTAATTGGAAAAACACTATCATAAAAATCTCAGGACTTTACGGAAAAGAATGTTACCCGACTATCACAGACCCGGTTATATTGAAATTCTGCTGAGACCTGCACGATTCTTTTTAAACAGTATCCATTCAAGTATTATGCACGTAATAATAATTTATTCCCATTTGCCGGTCCATTGGTACAACGAGTAGGACTGCAGTGCTTATTGTTCAAAAAGTGAAAAAAAGCAAAAGAAAGGCAGCTAGATGAAAATTCCGCAGGGCGTCATTCCCCAAAACTCCGCTAATTATATCAGGTTCCTCGGATATCAGCCGCAGATTTGTAATTTTATTTTTTGCATGTATTTTAGATATGCTTCTTTCAAGGGGCCGGATAGCACAATGGTAGTGCTGTCCATCATAATGAACACGGAGCTAGTTCGTTTCCACTCCGAGTCAAGCAACTCTCTCATCTCTCCGTGGTCCGGAAATTGTTACAGGACTTGTCTGGGAAGAAATTCACTCTCTGCAAACCAAATGGGAACGCTCAGGTCCGGTCATCTCAGGACTCCAGGGAGAATTGCTCAATCTGCATTAGACGACATTTAGGATGAAATGAAAATCCGCAAGCAGCAACCGAAACCACACGTAAAAACTTGGAAGATCCTCGTGCACAGTGGATGCGAGGAAACGAATCGAATGTAAGAAGTGCTGGAGACCGCATGGATGACGTGAAGGCGGATCATATAAAACAATGAAAATAAAATAGTTTCTTTCATTGAATGCAATTCTGTTATAAACTTTGCAAAGATTGTTCTGCGCACTTGCGTTTCGTATAAGTGAATTATAACATAACTTGCTTTTTCGCATATTTTGAAGCTTGGAATTTAAAAATGTCATAATAACGATTACGACCAATTCGCCTCTATGAAACCATACTAGGACCGCAGCGCAAATGGCTTGAAGTATTAATGGTTGTGGGGTTAAAGAAATGCTAAGGAACGCACACTGCAACGTTAGTTTGAGAAATTTTGTTGTAAAGAATTCGATTATTAAGCCGAGGAAGGCCACGAACGTACTTCTGGTGGTGCTGACTATGCGTTCAAGGTTTTCGTGGAAGTTAATTCAGGTACCATTGCTTGAGATCTTGTAGAAAATCTCACTACATGGAAAATCTCCCTACATGCATCTCAGTTGTTTCGGAGCCTTTGAGGAGAATTGGAAATTTTAAAAACCACGTTGGATAGATGTTGCACAAATTGAATTGAATTGAATGGATTGAATTGAATTGAACTATCAATGAAGTCGCCGTTTTGAAGGATCGCCTACGCTTCTTCTGCTCAGCCAGAACTAGTCGTTTCTACACCGTAGTGTGCAGTGCGAAGATAGAGAAATCCTCTATGATAACCTTAGGCGGTAAGCTTAATAATTTAAAAAAATGAAGCTTCGCAAAACTTTACTAAGCTAAAATTGCGTCAAAGGACAAACATGCTGGACGTTTGGTGGTCTCCAGCTGATTCGATTTACCACACTTTCTTGAGTATGTGTTAAACTATTGCGACGACGAACTAGATGCAGCATGTTAAAGAAGTGCTCCAGTAATTTCATTGGCTATACTCCTTATTGGTCAACAGATAGAGGCAATTAGGGACAAGATATTGCCCTTTTCCTCAACAATGCTGGACCAGACGTCACACAACAAACGCTGCAATGGTAGAACGAGCTGGGCTACGAAACTTTGCCTAGTTCACTATACTTGCCAGACCTCTCGCATGCCGACTATCACTTTCCCAAGATGTCGATAAATTCCTGTGAGAGAAATGCTTCAGCAACAATGCCGAGGCTAAAACTGCCTTCAACGACTTTGTAGCCTCCAGAATTCCTGAACTTTGTGCAACTGTTCGAGATAAATCTATTTTAGCCAGCAAGGATATAAAAATTCCTACGGTACTATTTCGATTAATAAGGTGTAGTCTGAGCCAAGATATGCTATTTTAAAAATACAGGTTGAAACTCGACAGTAAATTCCGAAAAACAAAGCAGGTTTAGTGCACTTTTCTAAAAAATGTAGTTATGTCATTTTGTAAAAATTCTTTTGAAAATATTAATAAATTTTTGAGAGCATTTACATCCTTTCAGAACAAAAATATATGCTCACTTAGCTATGCCCTTATCGCCACATCTCACAGCCGAGTCGATGAGGAAACCTCCACCATGCACGTACACCATCACGCTGTAACCGTCCTGGAATCAAAACATACTAAACATTTGTAGTGCTTCTGTGCCGTTTCATTTTGACTTCCTCCCTCTTCATCCACGCCTCCTTTTTACTACTCACTTTTCTACCCTCCATGATAATCGCAATTTTGCACTATGATGGTTGGGGAATTTCTTTCCACAGTAAATAAAAGGTATGGCAGATAAGCAATCGTTCTATTGAAATGGAATCAACAAATTGGTATCAGATCTGTCTGAGTGGATAGTAGAACTGACTTGGTGCATCGCTAGGGCAATACAAGTGATTGTGTAGGTCAGATATGCATTCAATAACCGCTAACGGTACTTATTGATGTCGAACGCATAGAGCATCACTCACAGTTTGACTAAGGTAGGACACTTTATTTTTTTTCAGGCGAAACGAAGGACCCGTATGGTGTGGTGGTGAACGCATTACTACCCGGAAAGGAGATTAGCGCGTTCGTTCACCACCGCAGACACCTGCGGTCCGAAGTTTTGCAAATATCTCAGCATCATTAAAGCTTTATTTTTATTTGCCTCTTTTAGATATTACATCGTAAAAGTTTAAACCGTCCCTATTGTACACACCAAAATAGTATAACTATTGTGTCAATGACTATCGTATTTTGGATCTAGAGCGAGCTTTCAACTTAACAATTCTGGCATCAGGTTTTCCACACCGGAGAGACGGGTGGAATGTCTGGCCCAGCTCGTGCTTGAACCGGCAGCTTTGCGCGTATTAGTGCACGGCATCTGTTTTCCCACGTAAAGAAAAATAATGTTGAATAATGATATTCCTTAACCAAAAGAAAGAAAGGCTATGTATATCGCACAGGTGATCCCATCCGTTTTGAAAAAGAAGAAATTTTGTAACAAGAGCAATAATAACGAATAACGAAGAGCTCAAAACAGAACGGAAAACGATTACAAAGTAACAAAAAAGGGTTTAAAAGATTTTTTGTAAAGTGAAATCGCACATGCTCCACTATGAAAGATTAAATACAAATTTCACAGTTAACATTTAGAAAGATGAAGGATACGAGCTGGGAAATAGTCCACTTAACACAATATTGAAACAGTCGCATGCTTACATGGATGCCCGCCCTCAGTGGTTGTGCGGGCCGCAGCATAATCTCCATTTTTTTGGAGTTTTGTTGGCTTAGCCACTGTGGTTTACTGGAGTTCCGAGGTCAGCATGGCCAAAGTGTACCCCAGGTTGTCACCACCACAGGCAGTCGCAGCCCTTGTAGATCAGAGGGAGGTTTGCCACCATGCGACTTCTATACCATGACGGCGGTGGGTCCTGGTATTTACTTACTCTTAGGTGGGCTTCTTGATGGAAACGCTAGACTCTTTCTCTATTTGGGAGAGCCCGCCAGGGGGATGAATCGCTACGCTGTACATCGCAGCCTTACACTCAAATACACCTCCCAGCCACGATGATATTTATGAAGTGGTTACTTATTTCAAACAACAGCGGCTCCTCAATAAGAGAATGATAAGCTATATAAGAGTCACACGTTACTGGATGAACTGGTCGAAGTGGAATATTATATCCCTTGTTTCTTTCATTCTTTTGCTTTACCACTTAGCCTTTTTAACTGGACTTTTTGTAGCCACTTGATAGCTTCTTAAACAAAAAAATTTAGAGGTAATTTGACTTGCGATTGTCCGTTATTTCATTTCAATTACTTTAATGAATCATGGTCTCCATTTGAAATGGGCGGATTTGAGTAATTCATACTCAACAGCAACTGCAAAACACTTTCAGACACTGATAGCGATACTCTCGTCTAGCGAATCATAGTCTCATCTCGTGAAAAGTAGTATTTCATGCATATAATTAAACTAGGGACGCGTGTGGAGCAGTGGTTGGAGGTGTTCCTGCAACACACACGTGGAGTCGATCCCCACGCGCATGGCTCCCTGCGAGGTCGGCTAATTGGTACCAGACTTGTCTGGGAGGATAGCAGCACTCGCTCGATACATCGATAGGCCAGTGCGAGTCATTGTAAAGGCCAGATATGCATTCAATCTCCTCTAAGCGATGCTTAATGAAGTGGAATGTACGGCGCATCCTTCAAGGTTTGATCAACGCCCAAAGCTTTATCTTTTATCCTTTTTATCACTAAACTATAAAATAAAGTTTATTCTATAATTATGTGGTGTTCTTAGCCTTTTTTTTCTAACTGTACATTTTCTAACTAAGGATAGATTGTTTAGGCGAAGTCCCATTCAGCCGCTGCAAAAAAATTAAGCTTCCGCACCAACGATTTAACAACAATACTTATGAATTTGAGAAAAATTGAATTTATGAATCACATAAAATGTCAAATTACTAGAATTGTACGAATGTAGTGAAGCCACGGGCTTAACTCAGAAGCGTTTGAAGTTTTGTATTGAGTCAAAAATAGCTTTTTTGCTTTCAGGGATTCCAAAAGTTCTCATATAAACGGGAACTCAATCGGCCGAGATGAACTGCACATGGAATGCAGCAAAGCGAATCCAACGAAAACAAGGAACGCAGACAAATTTAAAAGGTAAAGAAACAACCATGACCTTTTCTTCTGGTGTCCATGTCGGTGCGAAGACGTTAAGATAGAGACAATCTTCACTTTTACGTCCCAATGTAAAGCGCTCCCAAAAGAAATCCGCTTGGGGGGCTCGAGGACCAAAGTTGACGCATTTGCGGACACCTTCCCAATTTGACGGCGGTTGCGGCTTCTGGAAAAAGAGATAATGTTAATTTCGACACATTTTCGAAGACATTTCAAGGTTTCTATCACTACTTTGACACTTAAAAAAGGTAAAGTTGAACACTGATCGAGGTAATCACAGTTTACAAAGAAATACACTCCTTAATGAAAACTTATAAACTACTCACCATAAAACGTAGTTCACCCACTGGTGGTGCTGCGAATGGGATTCCAAGAAACAAATCTACCTCCTTATCATTACCGATATCTATTCGGAATCCTTCAACAATGCCATTGAGAGTTTGTATCTAAAGACTTGTACACGTTGGTGAAGAAAAACTAATTGCTTGTGTAGTAAGTAAGAGCTGTTGTCTTTGTGTATAACGTCGAGGTATTGCAAAACTATTTCGCTCAAGTTCGGTTCAATCTACGGCAGAATAGATTAGTACATGACCACCGGTAAGGAAAAAGAATCTAATTTGAAGGATATATAAATGCATCCACTTTTGATGAAGACAAAGACATTGGGCGGCAAATGAAGTTAAGACAGATGAGTCCCTCGTTCGACTCCACACCAACCCAATGAAGGCTTACAACTCACCAGAAAATTGGCACCAAACTCGTTTAGGAGTTAAGCTTTCTCCGATCCACAAATAATGACGATCTAGGTACGCCTTAATAGAGCTGCGCAAGGATTTCAAGGAAAAGTAACTCGCTGAGGAAACAACGACATTCATGAAGAAAAGAAAGCGCTCAATGCGCCCGGATGCAAAAGAAACTCGAAGACCGTCGTAAATGACAGATGTAATAGAACGAACCAAATTAAAGAACTTGTGGAATTTCCACAGTACGTGAGGTTGGGCTATATAAATAAAAAATATTTATTAAAATCATATATTAAACATTTATTTATATAAATTATAAACCTGAACCTGTTGAATCACGTATAACTTAATTACGCTTCAGAATAATTATGGCTTTCAACTTTAATAAAACGCTTCTTAACACATTATTAGTTTTGTAAAATGAAATAAAAACCATAACAATTTCTAAACCATTAATCACGAAATACATGGCTGCTTATTCTAACAAGATAAAGTCCTGGTTTTCTAAAGCTCTCGTAACGTACATTTTTCCAAGCATTTCTTTCGCCAAAGATCCTACTTTGAAAACCAGGACAACCTAGCAAGCAGAACGTTGTCTAGTGGGACAGACTGGTGTCTCGAGGTGATCTCGATGTTGACTTTTTAGCTTGTTTTTTTGATACAATCTTGAATGCATTAAAATTGAAAGAACATTCTGAAAAGCTATTTACAGTTATAGAGAGACGGAGCTAAGTCCTTTTATGTAAGTCTGATAAACCTAACTTAAGCAAATGCTCTAGTCCTCGGAAATTTTGTATTAACGTATCAACGTGACAAACTTTCGTGTTATTAATTAGTCTGAGAAAATAAAAACAAAGAAAAGCCTTTGTTAAGTAAAGGTGATAATGTAACTTTTTGGTTAACATCGATACCTGACGACTTGGTCGCATAGACCTAAAGTTTCTTAATGTAGGAAAAGATATTGTTCCTCCCATAGTGAGAAAATCTTGCAGGATCTGTAATGGGTCACATTTCTTCTTAATCGAACATTTCAAGCAAATCGTACGGAAAGAGATTATATAACTAAAAACACATAATAAGTGATAAACCAATAACAAGAAAAACGAAAAGTAATCTATGAATTAATAAGGACAATAAAAAAGGTGAAAAAGCGAGTGAATATGAACAGGAAGATGTTGGCAGGCTTTATCTAGTGAAACTGTTCGAAAGTATTTAAAGGAAAAAGCTCAGAATTTTGACTTTTCCACTTGAAAAAGGTCCATGTGCAAATCTACAGTCATTTAAAGTAGAAAACGCGGTCGTCGTAATAGAAACGATCATCACACGGTTGTAAACCTCTCGTCAATCCTGAATGTTCGACCACACTGACGACGATAATGAAGGGACATCCTGGCACCACTACCTCATCATCATCATCGTCACCATCATCATCATCATCATCTGTGACAGGTCAAAAAGCGACTTGGTATGGCCACTCGGAAAAATATCGGTCAGATGTAAAATGCGTTTTAGTCTATAAAAATTTCTTCGTAAAACTAAATCGATCATGTAAACATCAATGAACAAAAAGTGTGCGACAGAGTTGATTTCCGCTCACACGGTGCAAAAAAGCAGCTGCGCTCAACTTTAAACGAACAAATCTCAGCTCAAAGCGAACGTTATTGCGTGAGCAGAAGTATTAAAATCTGCGAGTTCTCAACTATAGGAAGAACACCCATTCGTTCTCTTTTGGTAGAATTCCGACTTCTTTGAAGGTCACTAAACATATTTTACCTAGTTCCTTTGTGGTTCGTACATCGCAATGCACAAATTAATGAAAAACGAAGAAAAGAAATATAACGACAACAATGCAAAGTTATTTGCAAAACTTCGGACCGCAGATGTCTGCAGTGGGAATCGGATTCGCTATTACCCTGTCCTTAAAGAGAAAAATGACAGGAAGGCAAAACGAAGGACCGGCACGGAATGGTGGTGAACATGTTAGCCGCTGGAATGGATAATAGCGAGTTCGGTATTCATCCCAGGCATTTGCGGTCCGGAGTTTTGAAAATATCTCAGCATCATTGTGGTTATAATTCGCATCACACACTGCTGTGGAATAGGCAGGAAATAAAAATTGGAGACAAAGAAACTTCTTAAACACTGACCCTCCTTCAACCTCAGTGTGACAAATCAACATGTGTTTAAATTTTTGAACTTACACGAGGTTTATAAATAAATTTTATTTTGCTAACATTTTGACGTCATCCTCTTCCTCAAAGCAGCCTTCAACCCAAAGAAGAAACTTTTTTGGAATTCATATGCATGGAATGGATCTCGCATTCATCATGCACACAAGTGATTAACGGTTAAATGTGACCAGTAAAAACAAAAAGTAGCTGAAGCTTTTTATCGGCTAAGTTGAAAGCTTTTCGATGGATATGTTGGAAAGCACAATGAAGTTGCCAAATTTATGTCCCAATGATAAATCGATGACGGCAAAAAGTCATCAGCATTAGCGATCATTGAAACTTCTGTCCACTTATCACTACCTCTTGTTTAAAACAAACATACCCCGAGCAACAAGCCGAAGCAGTACTTCTTCCTGCTGTTCTTCTTCTTCATCATCTTCTCTACATTTCTTTCTGTGCTGCTTCCTTCCGTTTATCTCTCTTATTTACCTCTTTACCAAGAACACATGCACTTGTTTTGCATTTCTTAACTAGGGACTCTCTTTGTTGCTTAATAATATGTCGAAACAAGATTTTTGTTTGAAGGAGCATTTCGAAGGACGACAATAATGAAAAAAAAATCAATGAACCGATTTACAATCTAAATAAAGCGATTTTGAAGATGAAATTTGTCCAAGAATGCTGCGAAAAAACGACAATAGCTTCACCAGTTTATTGCGACATATGACCTGAAACTACTACGGTGAATTGCTAAAACTACAGTTTTATTTTTAGGTGACCCGACAAAGTATACATTGGCAATCCCAACACATCTTATATTCGATTCGTTTTCCTCTATACATACATGAAAGCCAGTGGATTTGTGTGTTGATTAGGCTCCTTATTGCGGACCTCCAGCTTCTTTTATGGATTTCGTTGGATATTAGTCGAATAAAATTTTCCTGAAATCCTGGGATATCCGTATCATGGTGTTCTATACCTTCTCACTGGCACTCGCCAACCTTTGTGGATCGGAGCCCTTTCCACACATGTCTGTTAACCATGTCCTGACAAAGAAAGATGAGAGATGTCTGGTCACTATTTTCAGACAGAGAAGGGATAGGGAATTCACCTGGTGCAATGTCAAACCAATGCTTTGAGCGTCTTTAATGACATCCGCCAATTAACCTCCCACGTTTCGCTAAAACCACAGACTAGACTTCAAAATGGGTGCAAAACATTTTTTTGCTTCACGTTTTATCTTGTTCTCAGCTTCTTTTTGTCCAGTTGGTGATGGGTAGCAAGAGATTTAATAGAATAAAGCACCAAATACAAAAGCCTGAAAAGAATTCACCGCGCTCGATTCCTCAAGGCGTTCGTACATATGAAATATGTAACGCGGTTGTTTTTCCTTTTTTTGGTCCTCAACCAAGAAACTTTCGAATTTCGTGCAACTTCATGGCTTCATTTTTACGACAACTTACACATTTAATTTAACGATATCTCTTGCCAGATATTTCTATAACAGAGCTTGAATACTTTTCTCCCATTACTTACTTCGAAGTGGAATAAATAGATGCAGAGGGTAAGCGAAAGTTCATGACAACGGTAAACTAAACAGCTTTCAAAAGAAAGAACAATGTTGATGTTTTCGTTGTAAAAGAAACCTCGTTATTTCGTGAACAAACACAGATGCTGAGATATTTGCAAAGCTCACTGTGGTTGTATTACACATGACACCCTGCAGTGAAAGTTGTATTAGGTAGCAAATAAAAAAAGTTAACATTGTGATTTTGTCTACAGTCTCAGCTTAACTGGGTTCATTGCCGATTTGGGCCCCCTAGAACACTCTCATTGACAGGTGATTGCTGATGAGATTGATCGACAGAATTAGCTGAGAGGCATGCGAGACGAAGTACTTGCATAGTGTGGTGGTGAACGCATTGGATCTTGAAAAGATTTTTCTGGGTAAAAGAGCGTTCGTTTCCCACTGCAGACACCTTCGGTTTAGGGTGTTGCAAATATCTTAGCATCATTGTGGTTGTATCACGCATAACACCCTGCCGTGAAAAATTGCAATAGACAGTAAATAAAAAAAAGCTAACATTTTATGAACAATTCAATGATCCACGTAGCGCTTTATGAATCAGAAACTGAGTGAAAGTAAGGTGATCGTCCCAACTTTAGAAACCCTTCAGAAGTTTTTATTGAAAAACGATTCACGTTGTTATATAAACGAAAAGCGCGACTAATGAGGAAAGCAGATGAAACAAAGAAGGTTGTGATAAGAGCAGTGACAGATAGTAAAAATAGAAGCGCAACGAAATAAAGATGATAAGGCTTATAATTCAGTAGAATTTCGCAGCATTGCTCAGAAAATCGATCTTTAGTTTTCCTTGATAATACACCGCAGTGTGCTATTTTTAGAAAGCCATCTCAGCAAAAGGGTGCGTGTGGCGCGGTGGTTGGAGGCGCCACTGTGGCGCACAAGTGGGATCGATCTCCGCGCCCATGGCCTACCAAGTATTCAATCCTTCTGGGGTAGGCAAATTGGTGCCAGAGTTGCCTGGGAGGATAGCAGCACTGGCTCGATACACTGGTAGGTTACAGCGAGTCATTGTAAAGGCCAGATATGCATTCAATTGCCTCCATCGATATTTAATGAGGACGAATGCATGGCTCACCCCACAGGAATTGATCAACGCCGACACCTTTGTCCTTTTATTTAAACAAAAAAAACGTTTTGTAGGAATTAATTAAGTTATTGCCTCTTTGTACCCAATATAAGGGTTGTATGAATAATTTGAGTCTGACAACCTAATTTTCTAAACCCATTTTAAGCGAATAGAAAAGAATTTCGAAGAAATACATGGAAATCGTTAGCTAAAAGAACATTCGCTACTTTCCCAATTGTTTTATTATCTCATAACTCTTAAGATCATTTTGTTCGCGTGTGGTTCTTCTCGATGCTTGATGATCTAACTTGACTTTCTTGTAACCTCCAGATCCATTTCCTTGTTCCGTGAACTCGAGAAAGGTCTGCTGCTTCGAGACTAACAGTGTTCCTGAACAGCGTCGACTGCGCCAACTGACGTCGAGAACAGATTTATTAAATCAGATTCAATATTGGGAAAATTTTAACTACAGCATGCTTAGGAGCAATGCGTACTCTTCAGCGGTTCCCTCAACGAAACGCTGCCCACTGTTTCATTCCACTCTACTAATTGCCACACTAGACGAAGCAGTTACTGACTTTCTAAGCCGAGAAAAAAATGAAGACGCGAGGATCGATAAAGAGTTTAATTGATTTTCTTCGTATTTTTGTTGAGCAAACGCGAGGTGTTACTATTCTTTGTTCACGGTTAAGCTGACGTTTCGGCGGATTTCGCCTTCTTCAGAGCCTGGAAAGGTCAAGTTGACAGCAACTCACTCGGCCAGACGCCTCCATAACCAAACAAAGAAACTCCAAACCAAGATTTCAATCACTTTGAACACAGCTTTGCACACTCACCGCTTTCTATGAGGTTTTCACTAAGTATGTCACGTAGAGACCAACCGCACAGAAATCACGTGGATGTATAATGTGCCCCTCACATCAGAAAAGCAGTTTTATATACTGCCCTATATCACGCGTGATAATGAGGCATTCTTCCCTGCGGTTCATTTTCGGATTTCTGGAATTAATCCAGAGTGCCTCGAGAGTTTTTCGCGCCTGTGTTCTTGATTCGCGTGCGAGGATCGTGACACATACTTCGAAGTCGTCCCCGTTATATCTCTGG